CTGAGTGGCCTCGAAGATGTCCCTTAAGTTCTCCAACTTTCCAGCTTTCTTCTGGATAAAATACGTATCACACCAGGGCCCCTGGATGGGTGCGGATACGTGAGGTGACATTTGGGAGTCTCTGCACTGGACTCAGCACGTGGCCTCGTAGCTGCTTAGTGGACGTGAGCACCCCCACCCCGCCCCCTTGTCCCATTCCCTTGTGTTTGCCGGGAGCTGCCCACCGCTGCAACCTGCGGGGCCCCCTGCTCTAGTGTCTGCGGGCTTGTGAGGCCCATCCCCTGCTCAGCCCCAGCTTTCCCCCCAGCTGTGACGTAAGAGCTCTAAGAGTACCCACCTGCTCGGTCTCAGCCTTTGGTTGGAGAGCTTTAGGCAGTTTGCCTGGGTCCTGGTCATTTATTTATTCAACAAATATTTGTCAAGTGTTGACCGTGTGCCAAGAACTATGTTAAGTGCTGGGAAAGTGAACAGGACAGTTATGTGCCAGGAGATAAGGAGTCGGGCTATGTGCCCTGTCCCTTTTGCTGTCTTTTCTGGCACATAGAGGCAGACATAGTGTGTCCTAGGGGACACGGGGCTGGGGCTGCACATTGCAGCGTGACCTGGGGTAGGGCTGAGGGGTCGGCCACTCTAGGTTCCTTCTCCCGGGAGCCTGATCATGTGCGGCCTTCCCCTCTCATCTGCTGTCCCCTGCCCCGTCCTGTTAAACAAGGGCAACTTCCCCCAAAGATGATCGCACTTCACGTTGGAATCTTGGTCAAAGACAGAGACTGCGGAAGCCTGCAGCAGGGACACAGTACCAGTACAGGGGTGCTGTCAGCCAGCCTGGGAGTAGCCTTATGCCCTCCCCACTCACAGGGGAGGGCCTGGGGGTGAGGCCTGACCAGGTCCATAGGGAGCCCCAGGAAGCAATGCCCCCACCACTCAGATGGCTCACCTGAGGACCCTCAGCCAGCAGCTCCCATCCCCTCTGACCAGCCTCCTCTCCCCTGCATTGCATCCTTCTGGGTGGGCTTGTGCTGTAGTCTAGCCATCCTCACCCTCCCCTCTAGTTTTGTTTGTCCTCTGTGTTCCCCCAGCTCATGACCCCCAAGGATAAAAAGACCTTCTCAGAGTCACCATCAGCTTTTGTAGGAGTGGGTGTCTGATGAGACTTAGACTTAAAGCTGAAACGTGGGCCTCGGAGAATGAGAAGTCGGCTCCTTTCCCGAGAAGCATCTGCAGGATTCGGAGCAGATGAGCCTCTGTGCCCTTGCTCCTTTCTGTTCAGAGGCTTCATCAGACACGGGTCACCCTCTGCCCTGGCTGGCCACCAGGGGGTGAGCTCTGCTGTGGGCTGGACCCACAAAACACCAGAAATTCACGGGCACTCTGCTCCTCCCGGTGTCTGTTCCGTGTTCCACATGAAGTGTTCCTGCCTTTGTCACGTGTACGTAGTGCCAATTAGGCTGTTTATTGTGACTTTGGTAAAAGCTGTTTGAGGTGAGTGAGAGAAAGGTAGGAGCTGTCTTAGGTGGAGCCCCCAGAGGGTGGGCCAGGCCCCAGCCTCTTGCAAGATCAGCTCTCAGGCTTGACAAGCTTGTGACACCAAGGCCAGTGCCACCGAGCGCCATGGCCTTGGGCAGGTCCCCTCACTTCTCAGAGCCACCAGCACCCATTCTGTGTACCTCCCGGGGCTGGTGGGACCAGCTGGGCAGTGAGGGCAGGCGGCAGGAGGCCGAGAGAAGGAAGCAGCTGCGAAGTGGGAAGCGAGGTGCCTTCTGACAGCACTGGCGCACCTTCCTGCTCCTCTGTGTCTCCGATTCCAGCTGTCTCCCTCAGAGGGGTCTCGTGGGCAGGGGCCAGAGCTGCCTGGGAGCAGTGAGGCCGGACTTGCCCTGCCCTGTGGAGGACCAGGCCGGCTGGGGGTGCTGGGAGGCCATCCAGCCCAGCAGGCAGAACGAGGAACCCAAGCACAGGACCACCGCAGACCACGCCGTAGGCAGCTGGCTGCCGGCTGGGGTCCTGACAGAGGGTGGGGAGCAGTTCCCGTGACAGAGGCCAGGCCAGGAGACGCAGGGAGACCTTTGAGCGCTGGCGGGGCCCAAGCAAGGCCAGCTCTCAGTGAGGGCGGGCTCCCAGCCTCAGGCCACGGGCCACACAGGAGCTCAGTCCCTGGAAGAAGGGCACGATCCAGACCACAGGCGTGGGCTCAGCAGTGGAGGCGGGTCTTGGGACGAGCCAGAAGCCCAGCTGTCAGGCCTGAGCCCCGAACACTGGGCTGAGGTGTCTTGAATCCTGCCTTGGCTGGGATGAGCGGGTGGGCACCTGTCCGCCAGGAGACACCTGAGCACCGTCAGGGGGCTACAGCCCCTCAGCCAGCCAGCTCACTCTTCATTCTCCGGGCCAGTCTCAGCCAACACCACGGTGTGACTGAATTTAGGAAAGAAAGGAGCGTTTTGCAGGTAGTCTGAGCCTGGCTCTGCCCCTTGCTGCCTGTGACCCCTGAGCAAGTACGTCACTTCCCTCTTCTGGGCCATCTCCTCACCCATTACAGGCCCTCTTGGGAGCCATCTGGCTGGGTTGTGAGAAGTAAAACGAGTTTAAATTAAGAACGCCTTACACTGCCGTACAGCGGTGTTATATTCGCTCTCTGGTTTCCTGAGAACAAGGAGGGGAGGAGCCTCGCAAGTGGGAGAGAAGAGAGAGCCCCTCGCTGTGGATTTTTCTTTAATTGGGAATGTTTATTTACTTTATGAGACTTTAAAATTTTTCTGATCTCTGAACATACTTACGTGTTATTTATAGTCAGAGAAACTAATTTTTTAAAAAAGCAGTATTATTATATGTTAAATAAAGCAAAAAAATGTGTTTAAAGACAAGGAAAGAAAACTATTATTTATTTCACACCTACTGTGTGCCAGGCCACTGACACTTACAGAGGCACCACTGTAAAAAGTACACAGGCACCTCTCCTGCCCATCCTCTGAGAACAGCGGGAGGCACTGAGCAAGGTCAGACCCAGGCAGGTCCACCCAGGGGAGGAACTTTCCCTCTAGTGCTGGGAAGCCCTCCTCCCATCAAGCAGCTGGCCCTCTGCCCACCATCTGGGCACTCTTTCCCTCCTCTTTCCCCAACCGAAGCATCCACACGGGGCCAGGAAGGGGCAAAGCCTGCCTCACTGAAAACTTGCAAGAAGTTCATGCTGGGGCTTAAGGACCAGGCACTGCCGCATATGGAAGCTACCCTCCAGCCTGGAAAGGGCTGTCACACCTGGTGATAGAAGTCAGGCCTTCGTCAGTGGGTGTGTTTGTGACCTCGGTGTAGGACCGAACTTGCTCACCTGGAGTGCTTCCATTGCTGGCATCATGCTAGGAGTGCCTGCTGGGAGGCACAGAGGGGTTCCTGTGCTGGGCAGGAGGTGGCCCTAGAATCAGATGACCTGTTTCAGCTTTGAGATCCTGTTACTCACTGTCCCATTGTGCCCTTGATCCAGGGGACCACCTGCTAATCCCTCAGCTGCTGGAAGCACCTAGTGGGAGAGGCCCTCTGCCCATCATATTTTGTCATAGGCTGAGCGCTGCTGGCACCTCGTCCCAGGGAGGAGACAGCACCCCTTCCCCACCTGGGCAGTGGGGCCTGAGACCAGCTTGCCCGGAGTCCCTCCCCTGCCACTGTGACTCTCTGCAGTTCCCCAGGGACACCTGAGCTCGCAGACAGAAGGAACAATCAGTTCTGTCTCAGACTGGAGCAAAAGCCTGATTTTCTTATAAATGTAACAGCACCAGCCCATCTGAACACGAGATACACACCGCAGACCTCGTCTGCTCCGGGCCCTGCCTTCGGGGTCCAGGGCGGGAATGTGGCTCCGCAATTGCTCCATCAGTGACGGGCTCGGCCACCTCTGCCTCCACTGTCTCTTTCCCACCCCGCACCTGCAGACTCTTAGATGCAGGCGGGAGGGCATCACGTTGTGAGGAGCATGGATGTGGCCAGACTCGGTGCTGAGACCCTGGCTCTGACACTTGCCTGCTGTGGGTCATTCCTTTGCTCAAAAGGCAGAATAAAATGGATCTACTGGACTTGGTGATTTTAGTTAAAACAGCTTTGTGGGACATGAAGAGGCCAAAGGCAGATGTTAGAGGGTTGAGGGGACAGTGGCAAGTGAGGAAGTAGAAACAGCAAGTGCAGTTTGAGAGGGGAAGAGAGCGAAGGGTCAGCAGCTCCAGGGGATGATTCTGAACTGTGTGAAAAATAGGATCCCGTTTATTGGCTCCAAGGGAGGAGCCACAAGAAAAGGAGAAGGAGGTGACTGAGGCTGAGATGGGGATGGGGTATCACAAGGGTGAGAAGCAGCTGATGAAACCATCTCTGCTGAGACCAGGAGGGGCAGAGGCGGGTGGAGTCCCAGCTGTGTTTGTCGGAGTCTCCTCTCTGCTGACCGTTGTGCTTCTGTGCTTCTCTGCCCTACAGGCCCCTCCACCCAGCGTCAGGTGCAGAATGGCCCCTCTCCTGATGAGATGGACATCCAGAGAAGGTAACCGACCGCCCGGCAGGGGCCAGCCTGGAGGATACAACTGAGGCCAGGGCCAGCACTCCCAGGGAGACCCTGGGGGTTGGGGGGGAGCAGGCCTGACCAGAAAGGAAGGGGGGCAAGTTTCATTGCTGCTTTGCCAGAGTGACGATGAGAGCAGGGGGTCTCGTGGAGAGAGAGCACTACCAACTTCCAGTCCTGCAGCCCTCGTGACAAGCTTGGCTGTGCCCTGAGAGTTGTTCACCTACTGACTTCAGCACTCCCAAGTGTGTCAGGGGGCAGTCGTCGTGAGATTCAGGGCTGTGCTGCAGGGGATGGGCAGACAGTCCCGCCAGGCCTGTGACTGAGGCCTGTGGCCTTGGCCCTGTCCTGTGCTGCTCACCCCTTGCTGCTTGCCCCTCACTCTGCCCAAAGGCCTCGTGAGCCCTGGTCCTGCCACTCTCTTGCTAGATGCCTTGGGCGGGTGCCATGGCCTCTCTAGAGGATCTTAGGTTCTTAAGCACCCTGCCCCCTAGCCGCTCACCTCCCAGCTGAGGCCAAAGCAGGCAGAGGCCATGAGGGCACTTTGTGAGCTGCACCTGCTCTTGGATACCTTGGCCAGGGCTGTGCTGTAGTCCTCCTTGAGCCAGCCTATGAAGGAGGCAGCTCCCATGGGATTTAGACCATAGGGTGACCACCTCCCCAGCCCCCTCCAACGAGGAAGAAGGACCAGTGCCATGGTCCTGAAGTTACGGAATAGGTCATGGTGGCCAAGGAGGGAGCAGCATCCCCCGGTCACATTGCCAGGAAAGGCAGGGCCAGGACTTGAACCTGGTCTGTATCGCTGGGGCGGGGCTCTGCGCCTCTGAGAGGCTGGGAGTCCCAGCTCTGTGGGAGCTGTGCTGCGGAGGCAGGCCTGGCGCAGGCCTCCTCACCCAGGTTCTCCGAGGAGGACGTCGCTGCAGGGGCCTGTGATGAGACTCGCAGAGCCCCGGGCTGGGGGCTGAGGAGGCCGCTGTCCCCCCACCCCTCACCCGGCAGCAGGGCTCTCAGGGCGTTCTCTTCTCTAGCCTCTCCTGCTCTGAGCATCTTCGGGCCTCGTGGTGAACTTTGCAACCTTGGGCAAGTTACCGCCATAGGCCTCGGTTCCCTGTTTGAAGATGACAGTGTTAACCCTTGGTCTGCTGGTCTCAAGCAAATGACATAGAGACAAGAATATGTTTCCTAGAGTGTGTGCAGGTGGGAGCGGTTCCGGTACTGTTTCTCAAATGAGCCAGCTGAGGCTCAGAGAGTGGAAACCACTTGCCCAAAGTGAGTGAAAGTTAAAGGCAGAACCAGGGCTGGCAGTCTAGTCTGGCCCAGAGAAGAGCGTGTGGGTCCTAAACAGACCCTGCGGCTGCTATCACAGAACTGTTCTGCACCACACACCTCTCTTCCCCACCACCCAAGTCCAGAGTTCAAGGCCACTGTCTGCAGAGAGCTGTTCAGTTTCATCTGCAGTCCACTGTCCCCGAGCCGAGTGATCCTTGAAGGTCAGTTTGTCAACTTCAGGGGTCAAAACATCAGGGATAGCCACAGGGCTCAGTGGGCATCAGAGCAGCCCTCGACCCCACGCTCGGTTAGGGGGCCGTTAGAGCTGGCTCTCACCAGTTAAAGCCTTGCTGCCCTCCCTGGTTGACACGTTCCCTCAAGCCCCTCCTGCCCCAGCATCTCAGCGCCAGATTCTGTGGACGTGTTTGTGGGTCAGTGTCCTCATTCGACCGGCCTTTAAGAGCAGCCCAAGGCCACCCTGCCGAGGAGCTAGGAGGTCAGTTCCTGCTGAGGCACACCTAGCCCTGCGGTGCAGCCTTCCGATGGGCCTCTAGGTGGACGCCAGGCCTGTGGATGGAGTGAGGATGTGCAGCCTCAGTGTCCACTTCTCTGACAGCCAGCAGTGCCTGAAAATTGACCCAGGAAGCTAAGCCAGGTGCAGTCAGAACAGGGGATCCTGAGGTTGTGTCTGCTGAGGCCGTAGGCCCCCAAGTCAGGTGAGCTCGTCCAGCCTAGGGGAAAGCTTGGTCACTTGGCCAGATGGTCACCTGAGCCTTTATGAGGGACCCCCTGCTCAGGTGTACTGAGACCCAGTGGGCTACTGGCGCTCACCTGTCTGGGGGCCTGGAACCGGTCACGCGCTCGGCCTCTGTCAAGTGGGGCGGCAAGCCCAGCGGCCGGGGCCCGGGGGACCGAGGCAAGCTCATCGCTCAGCCCCCAGGCCAGGTGCACGGCGGGCTTCCAGGGTCACCAGTGAAGCCTGCTCCTGCTGCCTGGGCTCCGACACAGAGCTGCCTTGTTCTCGCTCCGAGAAGTCAGCCCCATTCTGCTGTGATCGCTTTTCAGACAAGTGATGGAGCAGCAGCAGCACCAGCAGCAACGCCAGGAGTCCCTCGAGAGAAGAACCTCGGCCACAGGTGAGAGCCCCTCAGGGCCTGCTTCCAGCCCCCACGCTCGGATGGTGCCCAGGGACACACTGGCCACTCTGTGGCGAGCTGCTGGTTGAGTAGGCCTCAGACTGTGACAGCCACATCAGGTGAACGTCAGAAAACAAGAGAACAGAGCAGAGGGTGAGGGGATTAGCTCAGCCTGGCCCAGCCCCTGCACACCAGCCTCTGGTCCTCCCACCGTCATTCCCTGAGTGGACCGTGTCTCAGGCACCATAGGAGCGGCTAGGGATGCTGCAGTAGACAAGGATGCAGCCCTTGCCCCAGGGAGCTCACTGTCCACTCGGGGAGACAGAAGAATGACCCTGGGTCAGTCACAACTGCATCTCAGGGACTAACATCTGCCAATGCCTCGCAGGGTGCTAGGTGCTGAGAAGGAGCAGAGAAGGAAAGAAAGATTCAGTATGTGCCACCCAAGAGCTCCCTCTCCCACGGGAAGACCACAGATGAGTAACAGAAAGTCAGCTGAGCTTAAGGGACGTTAAGCAAGTACGAGACACTGCGGGTCCAGCCAGCCCCCAGAATGTTAGGGAGACCGGCATAGGGAGTGACTGGAACAGCACCAAATGCATCCTGTGGGGGCTTCCTGGAAGAAGCAAACTTGAGCTGTTCCTCATCCCACAGAGGAGCAGGCTGCCCCCTGTCCCTGCTCCCAGGGAAGCACCAGCTGAGGGCTGGGGACTGACCAAGCCCACTGCTGTGTTTCAGGACCCATCCTTCCACCGGGGCATCCCTCATCTGCAGCCAGCGGCCCCCTCTCATGTAGTGGGCCTCCACCCCCACCCCCACCCCCTGTCCCACCTCCCCCAACGGGGGCCACCCCCCCTCCGCCACCCCCACTGCCAGCTGGAGGAGCCCAAGGCGCCAGCCACGACGAGAGCTCCGTGTCAGGCCTGGCCGCTGCCCTGGCTGGAGCCAAGCTAAGAAGAGTCCAGCGGGTAAGCATCCCTGGGCACCGGTGGGTGGACAGGGGACTGGGCTGAGGGGCAGGTTTCCAACTGCAGATGGGAGGACCCTCCCCTGTCAGGGGTGCCCCGACCCCGACGGCACCTCCCACCTCCTCAGTCGTGGCAGCGCCGTGTGTCTGAGCCGTGAGGGCTCCCAGGCATGTGAACTGCTTCTGACCCTTCGCAAGTAGAGCAGAGGTATCCCCTCGTAGAAGAGGAAGTGGAGGCCTGGTCGTCTGAAGTCTAAACGACTTGTTCAAGGCACACAGTTTGTCAGTTGCAGAGTCTGGACTCCGGCCCGGGGTCTCCTGAATTCAAGTCCCTCGTCTCTGCACCTCATGTCCTGGAGATCAGCTCCCTCCGGCTCGCCCTCCCCGGCCTTCCGCAGTGTCCTGGAAGGTGGGGCTTCTCGAAGAAGGCTGCGTGTGCAGCTGTGGTTCTAAGAACACCTCTAATACAGAATTTGACCTCCTTCCCAAGAGCTGTCCCTCCTCGCCAGCCCACTCCTGTCATGCTGGTCTTGGCAAGGGCGCTGACCATGTGCCCGTGGACCTGGGCCGTGTCTGCTGACTGTGATGACACTCCAGTCCTGCTTGTTCTCAGGCCTCTGGTTTCGTCAGCAGCACATGGGTTGGAACTGGGACTGGATGGCCCCAGGCCGCTCCCAGCACTGTCTTTGCAGGAATGACACATCCACACTCACATTTGTCCACCCCCTTTTTCCGCTAAAGTAGTGTCCTGCCATGGGCACCAGGCTAAAACACGACATCCTTTCCCCTCAGCCGGAAGATGCGTCTGGAGGCTCCAGTCCCAGCGGGACCTCAAAGTCTGATGCCAACCGGGCAAGCAGTGGGGGTGGAGGAGGAGGCCTCATGGAAGAGATGAACAAACTGCTGGCCAAGAGGTGAGTATTTAGGCTTCCCCTAAACCCCACTGCTTGTCAGGAGGCTCCTGCTCCCCAGAATCGAAAGGAGCCGCCCGGCCAGCCCCAGGATCCACATCACCTGCGTTCAGCTGAGCAGGGGACTGTTAATCAGGTTTTCGCTTCTCCAGGGGTCAGTCTGAGACATCAAGCCAAAAGGAGTCCTCTAAAGTCTAACTTCTTCCTCATTTCATTTTAACGATGCGTGTCAAAGCGTCTGCCGTGTACCAGCCTTATCCTGAGCAGAGGGAGATTTGGGGATTGTTTCAGAGGTAGATTCTGAGGGGGGCGAGGAGATTCCCCCATGGTGAATGCGTGGAGGGGCCCATCTTGTGGGGGCCATTATGAAGGACACAGGAGAAGCAGTGATGAACTGGCAGGAGCTCAGAGGACATCACCCCTCAGAGGTGGAACCGCCATTCCCTCCATGTCCCGGTTGGGCCCTGGGGCCCAGTGCCTGGCCATCCAGCTCCGTCTGCACCAGCAGGTGTGGCTCCAGCTGAGCCAAGGCCATCAGCCTATGCTAGGGCGCTTGGTTGTTCCCCAGCTGAATTCTGAGCAGATGGGGTGATCAGACAGCTCCCTCTCGGGAGAGCTACAAAGCTTGGGTTTACTTGTAAATGTGGCAGGGCTGCAGGAACGTGCAGACACGGGTTCCCAGTGCTATGGCTGACCTGGGCACACAGGGCCCAGGAACGGGCTGTGCCTGCCAGAACGTGCCTTGTTGTCCAGGTGACCCCTCCTGCCTTCTCTCAGTCTCTGGGTTCTTCCCGCTGCCCCCACGGTGGCTGGCGAGAGCTCTCTGTGCCAGGTCTTTGTAAAACCTGCACAGCCTTGCAAGGACGCATGGGAGACAGGCCCACACAGGGCAGGTAGCTGGTCTGGCCGTGACAGCAGGGGCTGGCCCAGGGCCTCTGTGCACACAGCACCGGGGGAGCCTGCCACAGTGGAGTAGGAGCAGGAGGTGGATCCACAGGCCAAGCCTGAGCTGCACAGGTGCCAAGGGGACGGGCTTTGAGCAGTTGTTGTACAGTGACTAGGAGGTGCAGGGCGACTGGCTGCACAACGGCAGAACAGCTCCAGGGGGACCCGGGAGGGCTTCCCAGAGGAGGTTCCACGTGTTCTCCGGGGTGAGGCAGGAGAGGCGAGCACCCCTGGATCCGGGACGTGCAGGAGCCTGACCAGACCTCAGGCTGGAAGGGAGGGCCTCGATGTGCAAGTGTGTTGGATTGTGTTCCAGAGGGGCCTTGATAAAAATAGATGTTTTTTGAAAAGAAAATACTCACACGCTCCCCAAGTCCAACACCATGTGTTCACAATAACAGCTTGGCCTAGATGGTTTAGGCCAAACAGAGGAAGTTTCTGAGAATAGGAAGAGGCCAGTGTGCCAGGAGCCGGGAGACACCAGATGCTGGTGGCAGGGCCAGGAGCCCGAAGAACAAGCGCATTGCACAGCCCCGCAAGGATCAGTCGCTTTGCTCTTGGAAACCCATCTCGATGAAGGATGCTGGGTGGACCCAACAGGAGACTGCCCTCACAAGCTGTTTCTTTGAACGAAGTTCCTTTCGAGTTCCTGCCTCCTCCCTCGAGAGCGCGGCCGAGCCCTTTCTCCAGCGGCAGAGCCCAAGGGAATCGTGTCGCTGGCAGTCGCTCCACGCCAAGCGCTTCCACACATGTTCCACACAGTGGCTCTTCACAGGACTGAAGGCCTGGTCAGCTGTATGGTTTTGAGATTAAAGGCTGGCTCTGGGTAGGAAGAGGTGTCACAGGCACAGTGGCAGTGGCAGTCCAGGGAGGAGCCGGTGGTGCTTGCACGCAGCGTTGGAAGGGAAGACGGGCAGACAGATTGGAAACAGTGCGGAGAGAGGACTGACCAGGTTCTCTTGTCTCACGTGAGGGAGAGCCTGGTGATGATTCCCAGGCTTTGGAGGGGAGTGGTAGGTGGGTAGCCTTGTCCTTCCCGGGATGAGAAGACTGAAGAAGGAGGCCCCTGTGGCCAAGGGGGCTGGGGTGTGGGCTGGTCCCCCAGCAGGTGACAGCTGGCTGGTGGCCCTCACCCTGCCACCGTCAGGCCAGCTTCCCACCTGAGCGACAGCTCACCTTGTGAGCTCTGAGGGTTGTGTTTGGGTGGCTCCACCAAACTGAAGTTCTCCAAAGCCGTATCTTTGGAGAGTAAGAAGGGCCTCCTTGTGCAGATTTGGGAATTAGCCACACGTAGCAACCACCGAAGCCAGAAAGGAAGAGTGAGTTTTCAGAGCGAATGAGAAAGGAAGTCAGCCATGGGGCGGGGGGCGGTGCCTGATGGGCTCAGAGGGCGTCTGTTGGGGTCTTTCTGAGCATGTGCAGCTCTTCCTGCGTCCAGATTGGGGAGGGTGTGGCTGCTGAGCCCAAGGGTAGGAGGAACTTTAGGATAATGGAAAATGGTTCCATCCCGCCTCCCACAAGGCCATAGGGCCGCTTCCCCAAGCCAGTTGGCCTGTAGACAGGATGCCCCCAGAGCCTGACCTATGACAGGACAGCTCTCCTGCCCCTTGTGGCCAGGCCTGGGAGAACCACTGCCACCTAGCCTCCCAGCAACCTGGACAGGGTGCAGACCAACTTCCCTGACCCCTCAGGTGCCATAAGCAGAGATAGGAAGCCCTCAACCCCCCACCTCTCAGCCCAGACCAGCTCTGTATCCGGGGTCCTGGGAGCAGCACAGAAGGCCTGGACACTCCCCCGGGCATTGCCACAGGCCAGATGGGTGCTTGGACAAGTTGCCTGCTTCACACAAAGCGGAGCCAGGCCCCACCTGTCAGAAAAAGCCTCTGAGGACCAAGCTGTGTCTACCAGAGAGGTGTCGGCCAGTTGGAAACCCCCAGGAGCTGATTGTGTCTTCTTCCTCCTTTGTGTTAGGAGAAAAGCAGCCTCCCAAACAGACAAGCCAGCTGATAAAAAGGAAGACGAAAGCCAAACGGTAAGCAAAGCCCACTGCTCGCCCACTCGCTGGCGTGAGCAGACCAGGAAGGCCCCTTGGCCCCAGACCAGGCCTGGCCCAGGGTGGACTGTGGTGCACCAGGCTGGACATACATGTGATAGATGCTTCACCAGGTGACTTGTAGGAGGACAGGGGGGACAGAAGGCCTGTGGTTCTCACGTCCATCCTCCCTGCATGGTGGGGCAGGCCCTGCTCACTGAGCATCTGGCAGACGCTGCTCTGCTGGGAGCCCACTGTCTCACCAGGGAATCCAGTAAGAGGCAGAGGAAGATCTGGCCCAGAGGTGCCTTGAGGGAAAGGCCCGGAGGCTGGGGAGCCCAGAAAGGCCCCACAGACAGATCTCAGCCTCCTCAAGGGATTCGGGGTTCGGAGAGTGAGCTCACTGTAGGGAGCATTGCTAGAAAACCAGGGCGGCTGTTATTTTCCAGTTCTGTACTGAGAAGACTCCGCTCGCATCCATCAGCTCCAGTGAGAGCTGCAGGTGAGCTGGGCGGAGGAGCCCTGGACTCCGGCTCTTGTCCCTAGCGGGCTTCCCACAACCTAGTCTGCCCGCCTCCACTTAGGGCAGTGATTTCTCTTTTCCTCCATGTTAAACTTTCCCTGTAAAAATAGACTCTTACTGAAATGGCCGAGTTTAGACCTAAACTACAAATGGTGTACAGGTTGCATCTCAGGGCAGAAGGAGACAGAAGATGCACAACCTCCAGGCACCAGCGTGCGCGCACTGCCCCACCTCCCCTGTCAGCAGGGCGAGGCTGACCCTGGGCTCCAGCCCTGCCGGAGATTTTCCCTCCCTCCGATCCCCATGCCTGGGCACCTGTGGTCCCCTCAGCGCCCCAGCTAACTCCTGCTCAGCCTGCAATCCTCTGCACACACCTCCCTCGCAGCCCCCTAGGCTAGGCTAGGCTCCCACTACTTGATCCCTGGGCCCCCCTCTCCCCACCATGCTTCCCCTCGGCCCTGAGCACACACATTTTTGCTTGTTCGTACTCGCTCTTTCCTGCCAGATCATGAGCCCTGTGGGGACCGGGCCTGTGTATTCCACTGTCCCCATGCCTTGCACAGAGTACAGAGTTCATCCAACCAGCTACCCATGAATTTCTGAAACTGCACAGGCCTGTCTGCCCGGGAGCCCGGGGTGATCATAGATCTCCAAAGGCTGTGGCCTGGTTTCCACCTGAAGCTTCAGCGCTTCTGAGTCCACACTGCCCTTCCTAAATGGCTGCTGGCGTGTCACGGCCCCACCCCAAGCCCCCAGACTAGCCTCCCCACGCCCCGGGCTCCAGGAAGAGGGTCTCAGATCCCAGGGACCCAGGGCCCTTCAGCTCCGAGAGAGGGGTTCTCTTCCTCTCACCCCCTCTCTTTCTTCCTTTGGTAAGAAGCCTGCTGATCACTGTGAGCTCTGTTTGCCTCGGTCCCACGCGCGGCCGGGAGACCGCTGCCCACCCCCGGAGCAGCGCTCCCCGAAGCAGGCCCAGGACGGCCCCACGCGGCCGAGGGGGTGCGGCTGGGCAGAGGTGCTGGAGCGGGCTTTCCTTTTTGAGCCTTTTTAGTATTGTCCAGATCCTCTTCTGAGCACTGCTAGGTTTACAACTAATGGAAAGCGACGTCTAAAAAAGGAAAGAGCCCCACACGTGGAGTCTCGGGCGGGGGCTCTGCCACTTGCTGGCCATGGGCAATGACGTTGCTGCTCCAAGGACCAGTTCCACGGCGTGCAAACCACGCCCACGGGGCACCGGGCCGGCAGAGACGGGCAGGCGCAGGGCTCCCCGGGGCTGCGACCCACAGAACAGAGGTGCCGGGGGCGCTGCGGGGCCTCTTCCCGGCTTGCGGCCGAGGCGTAGCGTCCCTTTCTGTGGGAGGGTTCTTACTGATTACTTTTGAAATGATAATAGGATGATACTGAAAACATCTTCCGATTCTTCAGTTACTCTAATTTCGCCGCTAATGCTTCCATTCTCGCCTGTTTCCTTTGGGTCTTGGTCTCCCTGCACGTGTGTTGATTTACATAGTTTCATTTATTCGCTTTCACTTCAAATGGGAGGCCTCAGGAGGCTTGTCCCGGGAGCCACGCCCCAGCACGTTCCTGTGCCCCTGGACCAGCGACTCCCAGAGTTCATTTGTTCACCCCACATACACTGGGCAGTGGTTCCTGGTAGGTGCTAGGTCTGCTCTCGGTGTGGGGACCAGGGGTGAGCAGTCAAGGTCCTGGCTCTCACAGGCTCACGTTAGACAGGGGTGAGTGCTGGGGACCTCCTGCGTGGAGCACTGAGCCCCGAGTCCTGGCCCTGGAGGTGGCAGTAGGAGTCCGAGAGCCCTGACTCCAAACCTCAGATGGACCAAATAGAAGCAGAGAGTTGACAAGGAATGTGACATGGGCAGCGACAGAAGGCGGTTCTTGGGTTTAGTCAGAATTACCCAAGTTCAGTCTCGTCAGGTCCGCTGTCTCTCCCTGGTCCAGAGTTCCATGTAGCAGTTGTCTGTGCTTTGTGTAGTAAAAATGGAGGAATTATTATAAACTTAATAAGTGCTGTTTTCTTAACAGTATAAAACCTTTCTAAAATGCCTGTGCACAGTAAATACCAGCTTGTATTACTACTGAGTCACTCACCGCCATCATGAGCATCACCGCACACTTAGGCCCCAGGCAGGGCAGACACGTGTGTGCCAGCTTCGGAGAGCCCCGTTGTGGGCCAGGCCCTGTGTGCACCAGGGCTTCAGGGTGGGTAGGACATGGCCTCTGTCATTGAGGGAGGACACAATAAGCCGGCTGTGGACAGAAGTGCTGAGAGCAGAGACAGAGGAAGCAGCAGGGCCTTGGGAGTGGAGGGGGAAGACGCGGAGCCGTGCCGAGAGCTCCCAAGAGAAGCGAGTTTGCCCTGAGGTGTGAGAATTATGGAGCGTGCAGGGCACAGGCGCCAAGAGCGGGCATGTCTGGAGGACACCAGGGCACAAAGGCAGGCGGGTGGCACTAAGTGCCCGGAGGCTCGAGGTTCCACCCGGCGCACTGGTCAGGCCTGCTTCCCATGGGCAGTGGGGTGACTTCGGGGCTCTTAGCAGAGGGGTTGTGAAGACAAACCTAGGTGTTAGAACTCACTCTGGCAACAATATCGTTGAACTTGGGGGCTGGTTGGGTTGAAGATAACCTTTAGAACACTGTGGAGTCCTTTGCCCTCCCTCCTCTCTGCTGTGGAGAAAAGTGACCTGTGCATGGGGCCTTACACAGTCAGGGGTCTAGGCCTCAGGCTCTGCCCGTGCCCAGCCTTGATCCCCCAGGGCTGACCTGAACTCGATTCTCGGAGCCCCAGCCATGCAGCCAGTGCCCTGCATAGCACCCTCTGGGGTCACCCCCGACGTCTGGTCCTCATAGCAGCCATTGGCGGCGTGAGCCAGGCCCAGAGAGGGGAGGCCCCTTAGGTGGGTCCCGCCTGGTTCCTCCCAGGGCTGCGGAAGGGTCACAGAGGACAAGGGGCAGAAGCACCTCGTGAAGTGCCCCTGCCCCCGGGGCCCAGGCCGCGTCCCCTGTGCTCGTGAGAAGCCGGCCAGGCCCACGGGGGCTCAGTGATGGGAGGGCTGGCTTCGGGCTGTAAAGGAAGTCTGCCCTGCGCCGTGGGGGCCTGTCTCCTCCCGCCTTCCTCTTTCCTGGCCTCCGCGCGGTAACCAACTCCCCGCCACCTCCTGCGGTTTTCATCTGTTAATCATTTCATTGTTTCAGTGATTATGAAAGTGATACATGTTCATTAGATAATTTGGAAAACTGAGGTTTTCTAGATGACCTGGCCCAGAGGTGCCCTGCCCAGCCAGCCTTCCTAAAGAGGCCAACGGCAGAGCCTTTCTCTTCGTTTCAGGAAGAGCCGAGCACTTCTCCATCTCCAGGGACCCGAGCAGCCAGCCAGCCCCCTAACTCCTCAGGTAAGGGCGCCAGCCTGCCCGCGCCAGGCCCAGGTCTTAGAGCAGGAGGGGCGCTTACAGCTAGGCCGTCTGGTCCCACCACCTCACTTCATGGGTGAGCAGAGGCCACCCTCATGGGGGCACCCTGCCCTCTTCCACAGAAGCCCCTGCATCCCCCGGAGGAGCCAGGCTGACTCACTGAACCCGGGAGGGAGTGGGATGTGCTGGAGGGAAGACCACCCTGTCCAACCCTCTTCCCAGCGGCCTGCCAGCGCCACCCGAGAGGTGTGGCGGGGATCGCGCCCAGGGCTCAGGTTCCCTGCTCTGGGCCAGTGCTCTGAAGAGGGCTGTGTGAATGTCGCATCTGTGTCTCCCGGCAGAGTGCCGGCTGTGATGGACGTTTTGGTGATCACAGTGAGCCTTGCTCCCTGAGAAGTCAGGCAGATGAGGTGTGTGAAATAAGGGGAACTCCCCCAGTCTGAGCTCTAGGACATGGAGTGTAGTTAGACGAGTGCCTTAAGTGTTGCAGCTCTTTTAGAATTTGTCTAGCAGTTTCTCTGGTCTGCAGCAGAAAGCCCCCACGGGAAGGGAAAAAAAAAGCGTGCCTTGAGGCTCTATGGTGAGAAGAAGCCAACAGGATTGGTCATTCAGCAAACATTTGTTCAGGGTCTGCTGTGAGCCAGGCCTGTGCTCGTGGGCACCTGGCAAGGAGACAGTGGGACAGAGAGGAAGTGGGCCCCCCGCCAGTGGAGGGAGGCTCTTGCCAGCTGCCTGCTGTCTCCCTGGGGCATGGCTCCGCCCTGCACAAGCCTCAAGTCCAGACGCTCTGTGTTGGCGTGTCTGCCTCCCTTGAGGGTCTGTGGTCCGTGTCCTCTCCTTCTCAGGCGGTGCCACTGTCATTCTTGGTGAATGACTGCATGAGCACCTCACGTCCCAACGGAGGGGTTAGGTGTTTCCAGTTTGGGAGGCTGAAGCTCAGTGTGGTTAGGTGGTTGGCTCAAGGCCACATGCCTGGAGCGTGGACGCGGTCCCACCTCTCGTGCCTGCACTGCAGGCCCAGTGGCATCTGAGACCCGCCTCAGACTTGCGGTCAGCCTGCAGAGTCTCCAGGCTCCACTCAGGGTGGTCAGTCCCTTGCTGCCCCAGGGACTTTTCCTTCTGTCTCTTTGCTCATCCTGCAAAGTCAGTGAATTTAGTTCAAGAAACCTCTTGAAGTAAAATGAAATACAGTTTAATACCACTTAACTTAAAAAAGTAAAAGGAAAGACAGGTCAGCTTTCAAGCCCAGGTTGGGAAAGAGCCAGCTGCAGTGAGTGGGGAAAAGCCAAGGGGTCAGGGGACAGCAGGTGCACGTGGGGTCACAGGGGCCTGGCCCCCAAAAGCAGGTGTGGACCTTGGGCTGCCCTGCGAGTGTCCAGGGTAAGGGCTTCCTCTGTCCTGCTCAGCCCATGGCTGGAGTCACAGGTCACCTCTAGAAGTCACGTTAAGAGGTTCCCCGACCAGTTAGCTTACATTCCAAGGAAAGACCCAACCATGGTGAGAGGAGTCAAAACCAGGCCACAAGTCAAGATCAACAAGGTTGAGGGAACAGGAACTTGTGTCCTGAGTCGGGGAGACTTGGGGTGACAACAGGGCCACACACAGCCCTGCGAGGGCTGCCTGGGCCAAACGGGACTGGAATAAGGAGTCAGGTTTGAACTCGCTCAAAGCAGAGCTTCCTGCCAGTGGGCGGTGGCCCTGGCTCTGCTGGGGGCCTCCTGCCCGGGAGGCTGAGGGGTGGGAGCCACTGGGAGCCCTCCCAGCTCTGAGGCCCTTCGTCCATGACGTGAACCAACAGAGGCTGGCCGGAAGCCCTGGGAGCGGAGCAGCTCAGCGGAGAAGCCGGTGTCCTCATTGCTGTCCAGGTGAGCCGCCCTGGGGACGCCCCTGCTGCGAGTCGGTGGGCCCAGGTGGGCGGCAGTGCCGACTCACATGTCTGTTCCCTTCCATTGCGTAGAACCCCGTCTGTGGCAAAGAGCCCCGAAGCTAAGAGCCCCCTTCAGTCGCAGCCTCACTCTAGGTACCGAACAGCCCCATCTGTGGGGCCTCCCTTGTCCCCTGCCCATGACTAACACCCGCCCGTGTCCTGTCTAACAGTTTGCTCTGGGGAAGGGTGGTCTGTGCTTTGTTCAGACCTGGGGACAGGTAGGGCCGGGGGGCTGAGAATGCTGCAGGCCAGCTCCTTCCTGTCGTCGTGTGGACAGAGCCTGAGGTCCGGGGAGGGGGGTGGCCTGTCCGAAGAGGCAGTTAAGTGGAGCTGGGGTGAACCCCAGCTCTGGCCTCACTAACTGTGACATCGGGTGAGCCAGGGGACCTCTCTGAGCCTCTACTCCTGCCCCCACCCCACAAAGAGGTCTGTTCCTCCCTCCCTTACAGGGCAGGCATGTGGACAGCTGTGCGGACAACAGCTGGACACAGGAAGTAGTCACTAGCCATGGCAGCATCTCCCAGCTCAAAATCTTGGGACTGGCCCAGCACCCTGCCTCCTCTCCTTCCTTGGCACTTTTCCCCAGAGATATGTGACCATATTTCCCAAACCAAAAGCCGATGTGTGAACAGGATAGGGTGTTTGAAACTCAGATCACTCAGCAGAGAGGCAGTCACAGTAACCATGGGCCAGGGTGGCCTGAATTTGCAGGTGTTTAGAACCTGTGCAAAAATGTCTCCATTGCCCATCACAAATGGAAGAGAAATGGTCCTGATTCCAGAGCAGCAAGCATTTAGGCCTGGTCTTGCTGAGTGAGGCAGGGTGACCAGAGAGCTTCGGCCAGCCCAGCGGGAATGGTGACAACAGGTGTGGGGGACAACAGGAGGAGGTCTGGGCCAGGATGGGGGGGGGCCTGAGCTCGGTCCTGCGGACCCTGCCTGCAGGGGGCTCATTTTGCCATTGGAAAGGCCCATCAGTAAGACAGCTGTGCATCCCGAGGTGCTCGGGGTGTGGAGGCTTTCGTGGTGGACTGGGCTGGGGCAGCCTCTCAGAGGTGGCATGTGAGCTGGCCTGGATGCAGGGAGCCTGCCCTGCGAAGGTTATGGGGACAGCCTTCCAGGCTGAGGGAGTGGGAAGTGCTAAGGCCCAAGCCTGTCACCTAATCCGGCAAGTCCAAGGAGCAGAAAGCAGGCTCTGTGGCGAGCAAGTGGGAGGACGTGGGCAGGCGGGGGGGCGGCGCACTCGGGGTGGGGAGGCATCGCGTGGTTACACATGTGCATTTTGTTCTGTGTGCAGGCCCCAGCCTGCGAGCGCAGGGCGCCAGGACCGAGTCACACTTTGGGAAGCTGACTCTGGCTGTGAAGGGAGAGGTGGACCAGGGTGGGGCAGGAGCAGAAGCAGGGGCCCGGAGGAGGTGAGGCAGCCAAGGCTGACCTGGGCTCTCAGCAGAGCTGGCTGCATCCCGCTGGTGGAGGAAGGATGGGCTGCCGGGTTGAGTGGCCAGGCATCCCTTACAGAGCAAGAACTTGTCCAAACAGTGTTCCAACTCGGAAGGAGGTGTCTCCAGCTCTGAGCCAGACCTCTGCTGTAGTCTCACAGAGGGTGCCCGAGGGGACAGGTGCATCACAGAGCTCACTGAGCTGTCGGGGTTCCTGTCAGGGGACCGTCCAGGTGTGCAGATGGGGAAACTGAGGCCCAGAGAGGTGAAGCAGTTTGCCCAGGTGACCCAGAAAATTGCTGTTGAAACAGGGACTTTAACCTACAGGATGGGTGTGATGGACCCAGGAGTCTCAGGCTAGACCTCTTTCCCCATCAGGACCCAAAATTACTTACGGACTCGGTCAGAACCATGTTTTGCATCTTTATTGAGTTCATCCAGGAGGGATACAAAAGTGCTTTCTTTTTTTTAACCCAGGTTTGTACACTGGACTGCCAAAAGTCTTATTTACACAACATTCAGTGGTTTTTCCAGCTTTACTGAGCTGCAGTTGACATCTAATGCTGTGTAAGTTCAGGTTGTCAGACACCGTGACTTGGTGTGTGTGCGTGTTGTGCGATGATGACCACAGTAAGCTAAGGAACACGTTGGTAAGGGCACAGTTCACTTTTTTTTTGGTATGTGTCGTGAGAACTTTCAAGAAAGTATTCTGAGCCACTTTCAAGTGTACAATAGAGTATTGTCAACTCTAGTCACCATGCTGTACGGTACAGCCCTGAACTAATCCACCCTATTACTGGAAGTGTGTGCCCTTTGACCACCTTTGCCAGTTTCCCCCACCCCCAGTCCCTGGCAGCCACCAGTCTGCTCTCTGTTTCTATGAGTTTGGCTTTTCTAGATTTTACATAGAAATGAGATCATGCAGAAATTGTCTTTGTCTAGCTTATTTCACGGAGCATAATGTCCATGTTGTCACAGACGGCAGGATTTCCTTCTTTCTCGTGGGGAAGTAACAGTCCATTATAGACACGTGTGTGAGAGAGAAGCTGGATGCAGAAAGCCCTCAGCACCAGGGTCCTGCTTTCAAAGGCCAGGTGGTTAGAAGAGCATCTGCCGAGCATTTCCAGGGAGGATTCACGCGCAAGAGACATTACATCTCAAACCAGCTGCCCTGAGCTCAAAAGCTAAAGCAGCTCAGTCCACAGAACTGAAACCTTCCCTTCAGAAGAGCAAGACCACATCCAAGGACGTTTCAGAGCCCGTCACCAGCGCCAGGGACACGGGTTTGGGTCAGAAGCGGGTGCCTTTAGGATGAGTGTTTACTGGACGGTTTTTGCAGTTTTGTCTCATGTTTCATGCCGCTCTTCTGGTTGTCCTCGAGTCTGTCCGGCCGAGAGCACAGACCGCACACCAGGGGCAGCTTGCCGGCCTCTGCCCTCCCAGGGGGGTGATGCCGTCAGCTCGCACTGCCACTTCTGGGTGAGCGCTGTCCAATTTGAAAACCCCAGGTTCCGACTCTTGGGTTGGAAAATATGGTCACAGTTTCCATGAGACCCTCTTGAGGTGGAGACGGGGCATTAGAGTCCTTTTCAAGTAGCTACAAGAGTGGCCAGAGGTAAAAACAGGAAGCACTTGAAGGTCGTCGGGAAGAAGGCAGTGCTCAGCCTCCTGCGCTCAGTGCCCCAGCGTGGGGACACCTGCCAGGCCCTGCCGCCCACTTGCCCACCCCTACCGTCCTCTCCCCAGGATGAAGCCAGCAGGAAGTGTAAATGACATGGCCCTGGATGCCTTAGATTTGGACCGGATGAAACAGGTGTGTGTCCTTTCCTGAGAGGCTGTGAAGGAGCCAGAGGCTAGGGACTCCTCAGGTCCACGAGGGCAGGCAGGCCCAATAGGGCCCACCCGTGGCCGCCAGAAATCCAGGAGCCAGCATTTGGGGAGGGGCGTGGGTGCCACTTGCAGCATTGGACCCCTGCCTGTCATCGCCAGAACAAAGTTTCTGGGCACCCCCAGCCTACCTCTGGGGCGTCGGGGGCTGCAGGCCTGGCTGGGGTGTCCCTTACCCCACTCACACACTGCCCTTCCCCGACTTGGGGACATGCGTGAGGATGAGGGCTGGGGAGGGAGCTGGGGGTGGCCCTGACCCTTCATCCAGGCCAGCTTCCCACCTCTGCTGCCTGTCCCTTCACTTTGAGGGTCTGCTCCCAACAGGAGATCCTCGAGGAGGTGGTCCGAGAGCTTCACAAAGTCAAAGAGGAGATCATCGACGGTAAGTAGACGGCCCGCGGGGGCATCACCCACGCCAGGGCCGCCCTGAGGGGCCCTGAGAGAGGGTTGGGCCACCCCGGGATGGCCCAGCCAGTGGGGCCATCCTGAGCCAGGAGGCCTGCGGGTCTGTACTTGGGGTGTTCCATTCTTCCTCCCAACAACCCACACCACCCTCCTGCTTCTCTGGTTGAGCAACTGAGGCTCAGCAGATTAGGTGACTTTTCTCAGTATAAGCACCCCTGGTGGTCTGTGCTGCTCCACCCCCCCGCCCTCGGGGTCTCCTGGGGACTAGCCTGGTAGACAAGGGCGGGGGAGGGGGGTGGAGCCAAAGTGCATTCCCAGGCCCAGAGCCGTCAAAACAGCTGGACTGATCTGTTCTTATCTCAGTATCTGTGGACTGAGCTTGCCTATTTTGATTCTGCCACTTCCAGTCACTCCCAGAGGTTGTCTTCCTAGAGGTTTTAGGGTCCCCTGAAGCCACAGAGCTCCCTATGGGCCTAACCTGGTCCACAGCCTGCTTGGCCCTGGCCTGGAGAGCAGGCATGTGGCTCCAGAGCACAGGGCCTTGTCACAGTGAATCACATCCACCTTTCCGGCTCCCACCAGAGCCTTTGATACAGCTGGCTCAGATCTGGAGCCAGAGGAAGAGGAAACGTTTGGACAGGGCTGGTTCAGCCTGCAGCAGTGAGGTGCAGTCTGGGCCTCCCCGCCTCCCTCCTCCGTCACACCTGGTGGCTGGGTGGGCCTGGCCCCCTGGGTATCAGAGGACAAGAGAGGGATCCGGGCACTAACGGTGGATGCTGAGGGTCGAGGGCTGCCGGACTCCAGAGAGAGAAGAGGCTGGTGGGAGCCTGCCTGGGGCACCAGCAGACCCAGACCACTGCCCAGAGCTGAGTGATCAGCCACACCCTGTCCTTGTCCCAGCAGAGAGCACTCAGTTCCGGTTTGTCCAGTCCCCCCACAGGCCTGGGATGGGCAGATAAGGAGTTAATGAATGAAGAGAGACAGAGCCAGAGCCATAGCCAAAAAGGAGACACAGGGGCCAGCTGTTAACTCTGCTTTACTGCTAGGTGTCCCCTCTGAGGGCTGCTCATGCGGCCCCAGGGCCAGAGCGGGTGTGGGGCCAGAAGCCAGGCTGCCAGCCAGCCTTTGTGCGGAGGACACAGCAATCTCCCCTGGTTAAGGGCCCAGCAGCCCTCAGCGCTCCCCTGGCTGTTGGCTCCAGGCCCGGAGGAGTCTGGGGCAAGGCCCAGATACGGGGCAGAGAAAAGCTGGGGAGAAGAGCAGGAGAAGCCCCTCCCCCTCCCTGGAGGGGGAGAGCGCTCAGGCTGGGGGGGGCGGCAGCCCTGCTCAAGGCCACGGACTTCCTGCTGCCACTGTCTGGCCACTGTCTGCGGAGGGCTGCCAGTCCTCCGCCCCAGCGTGTCCAGGGCTCCCGGTGCCTGCCGGCACCTCACCAGCTCCGAAGCCATCCCCCAGCCTGGGCTCCTGCTCTGCCATGGTGGGGAGGAGCTGGTCCTGCCCTCGAGAGACTGCCAGCTCGGGAACTGGGAGATGAGCCCCACCAAGGGCTGTCGCCCCAAAGCCTGCACCGGAGCCTGCGCCGCTCGACCTCTAGGAGCCTGGGTGGGGCGGGCGCTCGGGAGACTGGGTCGGGCAGACACCGGGAGGGACTGACCAGAGACAGGGACAGCCCCTGAGCCTCCCTCTCCTGTCCCTCAGCCATCAGGCAGGAGCTGAGCGGGATCAGCACCTCGTAGTGCACTCGGCCCCGCTGCTGCCCGAGACGCCCGCCCATCTGCCCGACGGCGGGGGACCGCGAGGAGCCCAGCGCCCCGGCCTCCAGCACACGCGAGCACGCACTGAAGCTAGGATGTGCTTCGTTTAAAAGTCTTAACCTGTGATCAAATATTAAAATGAAGAAAAAAGTTCAATTCCTGGATTTTTTTAGATTCAACCTGACACAGAACAGCAGGTCTATTCACCTTTTTTTGTATTTTATATTTGCCTATTTAAGTGTACATTTCTTTCGGTTTATAGAGAAGACACCCTGAGTCACGCGCTTCATTAGATGGTTTCAAGTTTCCTTCTAGGTGCCACTGGTAGCGCCTCGGCGCGGAGGCCACTGTCCAACAGCTCCTTCCCAGCCCCACAGTGGTGAGGGTCTGTCCACGCACCGCGCCGTCTGTGTCCCCGTGGTAATAAATGCTTACTGTCCACACCCCTGGCTCCGGCTTGCTCTCTCACGCCGGCTCGTGGTCACTCCTGGCTGGGGAGGCCCCTTTTTGGGGGTGGTGGTGCCCAGGGTAGCAGGAGCACCTCGGGGTCCTTGAGGTGCAGCTGGGCTGAGCCAGACACGAGGGGTGGGGAGGGTGAGCTGGGGCAGCCCAGGCACTTCCGGCAGGGCCCCCCGCCACCCCCCAGCCTCCTCCAGGGAGATGGGCCCTGAGTGACGCCCATGCCTGGGACATCAGAGGGGCCTGGAGAGTGTACCTGCTCCACCTACCACACAGGTAGGGGCCCTGGGACTCGGGCTCAGCACGGTGGTACGGGAATGGAAGGTAGACTTTGTCTCTGCTCTGGCCCAGAGTCCCCTGCATCCTCCAGGGAGGACACGGGTTCCCGCCCCCATGTCAGCAGGGGCAGCCCGTATGCCCACCTGAGGCACTTCGCAGACCATGCAAGTTCCCCATCCGAGCCAGAGAGGGGCTGGCTTTCGGCCTGGGCGACCGCTGCCTCTGGGCCGGGAGGAGGCCCCAGCTGGTGGAAAAGCTTTGAAATCCTGTGACCATCCCACGGCCCCCACAACACAACACAGCAGTGTGCCCAGCTCTGGCCCAGCCGTCCGCTGGGGATCTTGGGAGGAGGTGATGAGGCAGGGCCCCCGGTCTGGCTAATGGCAAGGGAACAACTATTTCCTGGCAGGTTCTGGACGTACTGTCTCCCCCTGTGCTCCCAGCAACCTAAAGGACAGGCCTGGAGCTGTTCTGCTTGTTAGGAGGTGAGCAGTTTTAACCCCGGGCTGGCAGGTCCCACAGCTCCAAGAGCTGCCCCCTCTCCTTCTGCCCTCCGCTTCCTGAGGTCCAGGAACCCCGGAGTCTCGCAGCCTTGGGGAGTAGGAGCTGGCAGATGGTGTGGGGTGCTCCCCTCTCCCCAGGCTGACGGGCAAGGCCTGGCCATGCCTCTCTGCCCAGTCTGCAGAGAAGCACGCTGGCAGACACAGAGCGTTTGTGAGGCTCAGCTGGGCTCTCCAGGGCTCCCCCAGGCCTGGCGGGCCTGTGTGCACAAGGCGGGGCCGCCGCCCAGGCTCAAAGTACTCCCAGGCCGAGTGCATGTCCCTCCCCCAGCAAGTCCGAGGGCCTCTTCCCTGGGCCATCTCAGTAGTCAGACCATTCAGGTACAAGGGTGCCTGGCACCACGTGAGGCCACTCCCAGCCCTGGGTGGGAAGTCCTTGCTCAGCACCTGCCAGGTCTCGGGCAGCAGGGGGGCGGGGGCTGCTGTGTGCCTTCCTCCCAGCCGTCCCTCTCCCCGGTCACTAACAGCCCAGCCCCGCACACCCCTAGGGGCTGGTCCTCAGCCTCCTCAGCCTTAAGTCTACAAGGGAAGACTGTCTCCCTGGGCTGCGGTGGGAGCTGCAGGGCTGCACCCACACCCCTTCATCTGGCCAGAGGGCCTGGCCCAGGCACCCCTCTGCCTGCCTCCCTCGGGGAGACCAAGGCCCCAGCCCACCCCAGTGCAGCCCTTAGGGCCAAGGGGCTGACAAAAAAGATGCCTCCCTAGGCCTCAGCTGTGCCAGCAGCCCCCAGCAGTCGGAACAAGCCATGTCCCACTTCACAGAGACACCAAGGACACCAGCCTTCTTCCATCAGAGCTGGAAGTCACCTGTCCAACCACCTGTCTACCCACTGTCGGGCCTGTGGTACCTGCTCTCGAGCCCCACAGCTGAGCAGGTGAGGGCGGGGGCTCAGGGTGGAGCAGGGACTCGTGCAGGAGCAGACCCCTGGGCCAGGGGGAGGTGGTGTCTGCAGCGCTCAGCCGAGCGGAGAGGAGGGAAGGCTAGTGATGAGGGGCTTCGGAGCCATGTGGACCTCCAGGGCGAGCGGGAAGCCTTCTGCCCATGCCCCGAGGCCAGCCACCCACCACGGCAGGGCCCTGGGGGAATGCCACCTCAGACCCAAGGCGCCGGCAGCAGCCGTGCCTGAGGGCCAGGTAGTCGTCCCCAGGAGGGAGGCGCACTGAGGCCCTGGCCCTGCCTGACAGGAGCTGAGCCCACGCCTCAGAAGCACGATCTGTGGACATGAAAACAAACGCTGGGTTCAATTTAGGGCATGGGAATGCCAGAGAAATCAGTTCCCTGGAGACCACAGGCACAGCGTGCCCGGGGCAGGGCCGGTCCTCGCCCCGTGTGGCCCAGAAAGGGAGGGCCGGGCCTGAGGTGGACGGCGAGCCTGTGTGCAGGCCAAGCGCCTCCAGGCTGCCGTCCGTGCCCACTGTCCCGTGGTCTCGGGGCTCCCAGGGACAAGAGCAGCAGCCCAAGGTGCAGGAATCAAATGCAGCCAAACCAGTTCTGGGCAGTGGGCCGAGGGGGGACAGGTGACAGCCAGCTCTGCAGCAGGCGGGCGGGGTGGGGCCGGGCAGCAACCAGAGCACACAGGCCGCTCCCACCTTCGGCCCCAGCCGCCCTCAGCAGGGCCAGCGCACGGCAGGGTCCATCCACGCCAGGCCCCAGCTGTCAGGCTCACAGGGGGTCTTCTGCCAGCTTGTACACCCTCTTCACCCGGGCGAAGGGCCCCAGGGAGTCCTCAAACACAAAATCCCAGAGCACCTTCACCCACGAGTGGTGCTGGGGCAGGTGGTCGTAGTACTCGGGCGCGATCTTCCGCACCTGCGGAGAGGGCGAGGAGGTCAGGTGTGCGGGCACGTGGGCGCACGTCCATACACGGGGACACAGGCGGGGCCTCGCACACGCAGCCACACCTGTGAGCCCAGGCGCGGGCACGCATGCGCACGGACGTGTGTGAGCACACAGACACGCACCCCCCCACCGTCACCTCCCAGGGTACTGTGTCCAGCTCAGTAGGCAGGAGGCCGGCCGGTGCTGCCTGAAGGCAGAAGGCGATTGGCTGGGGGCACCAAGAGGTGCTGAGCCCCCTGCCCTAAGTGAGGAGAGGAGTTAAAAATGCACCCTCCCCTCTCGGAGCCCACACCCTGGGTTTCTGACCCAGGAGCCCCATGGTGAGCTGGGGTTTCTTCCACTCAAGCACCTGCAGAGATCTGAGGCACAGCCAGGCTTGAGCCCTGCTGAACCATGGTCACGTTCATGCACCATGGCCTGGTGTTCAGTGCCCTCTCCCACCTGCCAACCCCTCTGGCCTCGGCTCCCAGTACCCCCAACCCCATTGCCCTCCTTCCAGCCTCAGTACTTTTCATTTCCTCTTCAGCTCCCTGCCTACCTCTGCACCCGACACCCTCAGCCCACCTCCTCCAGGAAGTGCTCCCAGCCTCAGTGCCTGCATCCACACCAGCGTCTTCCCAACACCACCTCCACCTCCTCTGCTCGCCAACTGCAGGGGATGCCCTCCACTCCCCTGTAGAGGACGCACCAGGCCTATAGCTGAAGATGGGGCAGGGGTTTTGAGGGATGAAATGACCTGCACAGGGCATGAGCAGGGAGCCTTCAACTTTGCTTGGAAAATATAAAGGCTCAGAGCTAACAGGTGCTTCTGTGACTGACTTTGGTCCAGATTCTGGCTCTAGTACTTCCTGAGGCGGGTCCCTCCCCTCTCTGGGCCTCTGCCTTCTCGTCTGTGAAATGGGCACAGTGGCTAATGAGGGCCTCTGCCCCATGGGTTCGGGGTGAGTCTTCAGTAAGACAGTGTCCAGCACAGAGCAGGACCTCGGTTCCGCTGGGGCAGGGCTGAGCACGAGGGCTGTCGGACTTGAGTCACGTGGGTCACTGCACAAACTCCTGCACACCCAGACCTGTGCTCACATACAGCCACGTGCACACGCAGACACAGATGAGCAGGTAGGCCTGCCGGCACACACATACACACGTGCACACACGGGCAGGCACACACAGACCCGCACTCTCCAACAGCCTTCCCACCGCCGCCGCCTCCAGCCATCCTGTCCGTGGTCACCTCTGCTCTAACCAACGACCGCCAGACTGGAACTCCTCCCCCTACCCCCTCCCTTTTTCTCCTTTAGAAAGTCTCCAACATAGGTCTCCCTAGAAGCTTCTGCTCTGAGACAGCTCAGGCCAAGTCCCTTGAGTCACAAAGGCCAAGGCCTACCCTGTCCTCTCTGTGCCCAAAGGGGCACAGGGCAGTGACAAGAAATCGGCAGGGACGGGATCAGGAGATGGGAAGGGGCGGTGCATCACTGGCAGTGTCACTACTGCTGCCCCCTTTTACAGAAGGGGAAGCTGAGGCACAGAGAGGGTGAGTGGCTTACCAGAGGACACACAGCCAGCCAGTGAATATTGCAGCTGGGCTCAAATAGATTTTCTCTAAACCAAGTGGCCTAAACTGTAAAGTGACCCTTGAGCCCCCTCCCCACCTGAATTCACCTCCTTATTCTCCAGCCAAGCATTCCCTTTGCCAGTGGCCTCCTTCTGCCCTGGGGGCCACGAGCAAGAACGTGGCCATCCCGTGATCAGCACAAGAGGAAAAGAGGCTGGAGTGTTGCCCAAAGCCTTCCCCACATCTCCCCTAAGGCGTCCGTGCATCCCCTCGCCCACATCAGCCCTGCGACCGTGGCCACGTACCAGGGGCAGGTTGCAGCCCGGGATGCTGGGGAAGTCATGGTGCTCCACGTGGTAGCCCACATTGAAGGTGATCCAGTTGAGGGGCCCGTAGTAGGAGTAGGTCTCGTGGCCCTTGAGGAACATGTAGTGCTCGGCCACAAAGTGGCCGGAGATGGGGTGCAGGCCCAGGCCCAGTATGGAGCTGGCCAGCAGGTAGACCATGGACTTGAGCCCCCAGAGGGAGAAGATTGTGGCGTTGGCTGCCAGCTGCACCAGGGCGTTGAGCACCTCCATGCGGGTCATGGCCTTGGGGTGCACGCAGAGCGGCCGCAGCGAGTAGAAGAAGGGCTGCAGCAGCAGCCAGAGCAGCTTGCGGGCCGGCGTGCAGAAGAGCCAGCCCTCCAGGCGCGTGGGCACGTCCACGTCCAGCCCGTCGCCGCCCAGGTAGCGGTGGTGGTCCACGTGGTACTTCTTGAAGGAGGCGGCGTAGGGCAAGCCTATGGGCAGGTTGGCAAAGATGGCGAACCAGCGGTTGTGGGCGGCGCGGCCCGTGCCGAAGGCCGTGTTGTGCGAGATGTCGTGGATGGCCAGCGTCAGCGAGTGGTTCACGCAGCCCCCGAAGGTGTAGGCCCAGAAGAACAGCCAGCGCCATGCCAGCCCCCGCACCAGCCAGCAGGCCAGCAGCTGCGCCAGCACCAGCCCCAGCACTGTCCACTTGAGATGAGGGTCTGGTCGCATCAGGGCCTTGATGGCCGGGTACTTGGCTGCAGGAAGGACCAGGAGAGGAGGTGACACTGGTGCTGGCTGCCTGGGTCCCAGCTGCATGCTAGCCCCTCCCCCTTTCCCTCCCTCCTTCCATTTCTCCTGCGATCTTCCCTCCCTCCCTCCACTACCCATTTAACCCCCAGGCAGTGACACAGAAATGCCCTCGCCCCTTCAGACTCAAAGACCTGGCACTGCTCTTTGGGGCCCAGGAACAGCCCGATCTGTGCGCGTGCAGAGGCAGGCGGTCCGGCCTCCCCGCCACCTGGGGGGCTCTAGGGAGACTTCCCACAGTGGAGGTCTTTGCCACCAGCCTAAATAAAGAACAGGCGTCCTCATGGCCCCAGAAACATAATGCCCAAAATCAAAGCAGCTGCAGAGAGAGAGCTGCAGGTGAACCGCCCGCGTGGCTGCGCACGCACAGCTGCGGGCTGCGGGCTAGTGGGGCAGGGACAGGCAGCCTGGATGCCCAGAACTCAGGCCCCTGGAAAAGGGTGGGGGTCCAGGGGAGGGGGCTGTGGAGGGCTCTGGCTTTGAGAGTTTCCGTTCTTAAAACAAACAAGATCTGAAGGAAACATGATAAAATGTTGAATGTGTGTATTTTGGGTGGTGGATGTTTGTTATAGTATCTTTTGTACTTTTCTATATTTTGTTCTACAGAAAAGGGGAAAACAATGAGAGTGGGAGGTACCCAAGCAGGGGAGGGAGGGCCTTCCCAGCCCAGGAGTGGTCCAACCCTGTAGAATAGAAAAGCTGAGTGGGGTGGATGCCCTGGACAAGACTGCCTTCTAGAAACCTCTGCCTGGCAGAGGGGGTGATGGGGGGACATCACATGCTCAAAGGGACGGTCGCTCCCCCACCCCAGGTCTGCCCTGTCCTTTGGTTCCCTCAGAGGCAGGGCCAGTGCCCTGATGCTGATGGGGACTCTGAGGCTGGTGTTTGTCCCAGGGCACCGGGTGAAGAGGGTCTCCAGGATCGCAGCAGAGACTGAGCCCTAAGGGGAACCAGCCAGGCCAGGGTCCAGTCCTGCCTGCTCTTTCCCAGAGACCCAGGAAATCACTTCCCTTTTGTGCTCAGGGAGGGTGTGACAGCTCCTCCCTCCTCCCAGCCCAAAGAACTTTCTGTCAGAGCCACTCAGCCAGCAATGGAATAGGCTGCTTGGGAGGTGGTGAGCTGCCTGTCCCTGGGGGTATGCAGAGAGACACACGACAAGGGCAAGGGAATTCTGCCCCGTCAGAAGGGAGACGCAGGCTCCAAATCCTCCTGCCCGAGCTGCAAAGCCACAAGCCCATCTCGGGGTCAGTCTTGATCTTGCTGTGTGGCCACAGTGAGTTCCCACCCTCTCTGGGTCCGTGTATGACACAGCATGGGCATGATGTGCCTCACAGAGTGTCTGTCCCCACCGAACGGTCCTGGCCCTGATGGTGGGACAGCTCGCGTCTGCTGGAGAGGCTGGGGGGTCAGGGTTCCCACATCTCTGCCCAGGAAGCCCCCAGAATCCCCCAGACAGCGTTCCCCCTGCCATCTACACACCAGTGCTCCCATTCAGCCTTCACTCATCTGGCAGCTGCGGTGGTTTTGACCCAGTCCAAGGGTCCCACACAGCCACAAGACAGCCTGCCAGTGGCCAGGGTCCGAACCCCACACCCCCACCCCCTGCTCCCATTCCAGCTGCTGTCCCCCAACTGCTGAGGCCACCCCCAGGCTCCAAGCTCTGAAAAACTGCCTGGGCCCTTTCATCCCAGGAGCCCTCTCCCTGAAGCCACCAAAGACACCACCCAATCAGGTCTACGAGGATGGTGGCCACAGTATGAGCATCAAAGCAGAACGTGGGAGAGAGCAAGCAAGCCCAGGGCTGGTAATACACCTCGGTCCGCTTAACCGGGGCTCCAGGCGGCCACAGTGCCCCGGGGGGAGCCTCCAGAGCAGTGTCAAAATCCAGCTCTGGATGACGGTTTAGTAACCAGAATAGATAAAGATCTCCTACAGCCCAACAGCAAAAAGATAGACAATCAAAAAAGAAAAATGGGCAAAGGACCTGAATAGACATTTCTCCAAAGATGTGCACCTGTCCAATAAGCAGATGAAAATAGACTAACAGACACAGTTAGTCACCAGGGGATGCAGTGAGCTCCCACCTCACACCGGCCAGGATGGCTGGACTCAAAACCAGAGTAACAAGTGCTGTGAGGCTCAAGGAAAGTGGAACCCTTATTTGTATGTTGCTGGTAGAAAAGCAAAATGGTGCAGCCATCTTGAAAAACAATCAGGCAGTTCTTCCAAACACGAAACACGGAACTACCATGTGATCCAGCAATTCCACTCCTAAATACATACCCCAGAGTTTAGCTCACGGACACAGAGACCTGCCCACTCACGTTCATAGAACTATTCACAACAGCCAGAAGGTGGAAACAACCCAAGTGTCCATCAGCTAATGCCTGGATAAACAAAATGTGGTCCATCCACACAATGGAATATTATTCAGCCTTAGAAAAGAATGAAACTTGCAGTTATAAAGTAAGTCATGCGGATATAATGTACAGAATGTTGACTGCTGCATATTTAAAAGCTGCTAAGAAAGCAGATTTTTGAAAGTTCTCAAGAACTTTTCTCATCCAAGAACTTAAAGAAAAAAAAAAACTATGTGTGGTGAAGGGTGTTAACTAGACTTAGTGATCATTCTGCAATAAACAAACATGAAACCATTACGTTGTACACCTGAAGCTAGTAAATACCATGACAGGTCAATTATACCTCGATTTAAAACCCTTAGACTGAATGTCCCACTTCTCCATTTCACAATGCCACCTCGCTTAATCCCGCTCCCTGGAACTGACTCCCAGATAAACTACAAGCAACCCCACCCCAAAAAAAGGAATGAAATACTGACACAGACTACATCCAACACGGACGGACTGGGAAGACATTAGGCTGAGGGAAATAAGCCAGATTCCCCTTATGTGGAACATCTAGAATTGGCAAGATCACAGCAGCAGAAAGTAGAGGCTACCAGGGGCTTGGGGAGGCCCGGACGGGGCTGGGCAGTGACTGGTAATGAAATGGGTATAACATTTCTGGTCGGCATCATGAAAACATTTTGGAAATAGTAGTGATGGCCGCACAAACAGCACTGTGAATGAAATCAAGGCCGCCAAGTCACACACTTAAAACGTGGCTTAAATGGCAAATTCTACGTTTGCTATATAAATAATAATAATAAAGTTTGACTAAACATCTCAGCTCTGGGCAGGTTACCTCGGCCCCAAGGCTGGTTTCTGAACCATAAACAGGTAACTGGGAGGATGACTAGATCAGGCGTGGAAAGGCTCAGGCTGACCAGCCAGGGGATGAACCTGCACTTTGTGATGAAGAGTCAACAAAAGCGCCCCAGGGAGGCAAGGTTTGAGAGGCTGGGGCCCGCAGACAGGTTACCAGGTGAGGGGGGTGCTGAGGATGGCGTTGGAAGGCGGCTGATTAGAGCTCCCGAAACCCCGGTCCTGCCACAGTCCCTGATGGCGGCTGTGTGGGCCGTGGGAGGTGACCTGGCTGTCCAAGGAAGGCCGGAGGCCCCGTAGGGTGCTCGCTGCCCCAGCAGGTGGAGGAACATGGTGGGGCGGGTGGGGGTGGGGAGGCTGCCACCTTAAACCATTTCACAAGGTGGAGGGAGAGACCAACAGCCCCCGAAGGTGTCCACGACCCCCCCACCTGTGAGTCGGTCAGCTGACACGGCACGTTGGAGTAAGCTGCACGCGGCACCCAGGCTGCCGGCCTGCTGACCTCACAACGGGGAGGAGACTCTGGATTATCCGGGCAGCCGTGTCATCATCATCCCAGGCTCCGGACAGTGGAAAAGTGGGCAGGAGAGAGGTCTGGGGTGGCCGGCCACGGACACCATCAGCACTGCTGGCTGTGAAGATGGAGGAGGGACCCCGAGCCGAGGGGTGCAGGCAGCTCCAGAAGCTGGAAAGGCCAGGACACAGACACCCGCCAGAGCTCCCAGGAGGAGCATGGCCCTGCCGACACCATGACTTTGGCCCAGTGAGGCCCAGGTCAGACTTCTGAGCTCCGGGAACCGTGAGATAGCACCTGTGTTGTTTCAAGCCTCCGAGGTTGCAGCGATTTGCCACCACAGCCCTAGGAAACACGCAGCTGCACCGGGAATGAGGGGACGGTGGGGCTCCCGCAGCCCGGTCGACCACTCTGGCCACTCCCCGCCCCATCCCTGCACTGGGCACGGGGCCACTCACACCTGGCCCTGCCCCTCAAGGGCTCATCCACCAGCCCCGATCGAGGTGGACGAGGCAGGGCAAGAGAGACAAAAGGACCCTGGCCTGGGGGATGGGGACTGACACGTGGTGGGCCCCACTCGGGAGGGCGTGCAGGGAGCAGGCCGCATCCCAGCTGGTTCCTGCCCCAAACGTGGGTCAGAGTGAGCGCGGACACTTCAGAGAGTGGGCCTCAGGGCTACCCAGGAGGATGGGTGCTTCCAGCGGGGGACTGAGGGGCCTAGAAGGGTGGGAATCGAGTAACCACGGTGGGGTGGAGCAGGAAAGGAAGCACCGTCTCCATGATGCCCAGGGCAAGGATGCGCTGGCAACCTCAGCTATCAGAAAGGCCCTCACCCACAGCCCAGTGCTGCAGAGACAGCATCTCTGAACCTTTGCATACTTGGATGTCAGGTTGGGACCACAGGCCACAAAGCTCCACCAGCCTCCCTCCCAACAGTGGCAGCTTCTTGGCACCAGCCTCCCCACTTGGGTCACCAGGCGCCAAGCCCGCGCCTGCCCACGCACACCTGGGAGCTGATCCAGGAGGCCACCAGCCTCCGCGGGGTGGGCCTCCCCTGCTTTCCCTTGGATAGAGGCCAAGCCTGGGGCAGGAGGATGGGGCAGGCCACACCTGCAACAGGTGAGCACAGACTGGCAAGCTGTGGGCCAGCAGGGACCAGGACCCTGGCTCAGGGATCCAGACCAGCAAACAAGCCACTCCAGTGCCCCCCGGAGGCAAGGGCAGTGACGGAGCCCAGCTGCTGTGACCTTGGATGGTGGGCCTCAGGTGCCCCATCTGTCAGAGACAAAAAGTCATGCCTGAGTGGAGGGACAGGAGAACACCTTGGGGGCCCTGCCCTACCCGCCCCACTTCAGGGAGCCCGGTGCCCCTTCCTCCTTCCTCAACAGTTTCCCAAGGACTCAGCTGCCCCTAGCTCAGAGCAGCCCCAACAGGGCATGGGGTGTCTGATCCCCAGCCTCTCACCCAGGCCGACCGAGCAGGCCAGGGCCAGTCCTGGCCACAACACCGCCCAGCCTAGGCCTCCACACCTGGAGAATGGGGCTGGCACTCCCACCCACCCACCCACGCAGTGGTGGGGCCAGGATGACAGCTCTGAGCCCTCTGACTGTCTTACTGTCATCATTAAGTGCAGTTTTCTGATCTGAGAGTAAACCTCGCGTTTCTGACCTTTGAGGCCGGGGGACGGGGGCAGGGGCTGGTCTTGGAGGCTGATCTGGCCCCGGGCTTGCTCTAACCTGCGAGAACAGGCCCCGTGCTCCCAGGCCTTGACGGTCACTGGGCTCGGCCACCCCACTGGAAGTAATGAAAAATGGGGCCGATGTACATGCCGGCAGCTCAGGGGCAATCCCTGAGAGGGAGCCAGGCGCATGAGCTCCACATCACCGCCACTCTGCCTGGAGGCACTTTCCAGACCACAGTGCAGGGAGGAGGAGCCCCAGGAAGCCAAGCAGGGAGGCAGGGCAGGGCAGGGCTCCGTCCAAAGGCGTCGTCTCCAGGGAGCCTGGGCTGAACACGCACTAGGGGCAAGACCCATGAGTGCTCAGAGGCAGCAGCCAAGGGGCTTGGAGACCCGGCTGAGCACCCCAGCCTTCAGTGCAGAGCACAGAAGGACCCCATCTAAGGAGTGGGGCGGCTCTGGACCCACCCGAACAGCACTGGTGAGCAGGGCCACGCTGACCCACCAGCCCCCCATACCTGCTGGACAAAAGCTCAACCTTCCCTCAAGGGAAACGGCAAATGGTGAACCTTTTCAGCTCCAGAGCTTCTGAGTCCCTGGGGAGCCGGGAGGCCTGGGGGCCACCCCAAGAAGACGTGCAGGGTACCTCCAGCCACACAGACCCAAGGAGGTCACTGAGCGCATTCGGGATTCGGTATAATTGGAGCCATGGGCTGGAGATGTCCACCAGGGGGTCAAGGAGGGTCATGGAAAGGAAGACAGGAGAGATGCCTGCTGGACTCAGCAAGGCCATGGGGGCCTCTACAGGGAGCCATTTCAGCAGGAGGCGAGGAGAAAAGGTGAGGGGAGAGTGAGGCATGGAGAGGGAGGGCTGCTAGGGTGCTGAGATGGGAGAGAGGGGCCAGGGGATGGCAGAAGGAGGGGACAGAGATGCAGACATGGAAAAGGCAAGGAGGGATACGGGCCTGACAGGGGGGTGCCTCGTCCAGCGACTCAGGGATGAGCTAGGGGACAAGAGCCACAAGGTATCATCTTCCCTGGGCTCCAGAAGAGGTGGAAACCCTGAGGAGGGGGGCAGGAGCTGTAGCCCCCTGGGGAGACCCAGGCCTGCCTGGGCACCCAAACCTGACCCAATTTGACCAGGGGGTACTCTGCCCCCTCAGGCCTTGGGAGCAGAGGACAGGAGAAGCTGCGTTAGGACATGCATGCCTCAAGGGCTCTCTGCTCCCGCGGGGCAGCCTGGAGCCCAGTGTGGACAGACAGCCACCTGGAACAAAGATAAACAGACCCACGCAAATGGTCTTCCAGCAGGGGCCTGGGTGGGGCCCGAGGCAGCTGGGCAGCTGGCCATGAACAACAGTCATTGCTAGAAGTCACACTCTCCAGGCATGGCATAGGAAGGAGGAGCCGAGGTCCAGGGCAGGCTCGGACCAGGCGGGGCGGGGCAAGAGAGCCAACACTTGACCTGAGGAGCCCTGGCTTCAGGATGTGGGCTGGGGCCCAGGTGCAGATGCGGCCCTTGGCAGGTGAAGCTTGCCCGGCCTCTGACACACACTCATTCATTCAGCCTTTACCACTCTGCCTGGAGGGAACCGTCCCCCCGTCTTAGAGATGGGCAAACAGAGGTTCCACCACATGATGAAACCACCTGCCTCATTTCCCCAGCCCCTCTGGCGTCTGCAGGGAATGCCACAGTCCCGGAGCTGGGCTATGTCATCAGGCAAAGCGCCCAGAGAAAGTCCTGGGTCCTGGTTTAGGAGAGCCTCACTGCAGCCTGGCTCAGTCCGACTGCTGTATGTCCTCCGGCAAGCCCACGTCCCTCTCTGGGCCAGCTGCCTCACCCTCTGTTCCTAAGGCACCTGCTCTGACAGTCCAGGCTGTGAGCATATGGAGCTGGGTCTCCGCAGGGGCACAGGGGACAGGAGGGAATGAGGGAGGAGGCGGCCGGCTCCGAGGTGTTGGGCAGCGTGGCTCCCACAGATGCGAACATTTCGATGCATTGCGTACATTTCCATACGTGATGGACTTGTCCATAAGGACCCAGAGGTCTCAGCAGAGGAGCTGCTGGAAGGAAGGGCAGCCTGGACCCAGCAACGCACACCAGTCTCACAGAACAGCCTCCTGTGCGTCCTGGTTACCCCCAGAACTCTTCCTGACAAATTCTGCTGCACCAGCACAGGCGGACAATGGCAGAAACAGGCAGCTGGGCAGGGGAGGCACCAGGCTCCCCTCTCAGCTATGGGCTCCCCCACCTAGCCCCCTTCTCTCTGGCCTCCAGCAGGGCTCCCAGGAACACACGGGGCTTCTCCCCACTTACGCTCCAGACCCTTCCAGGCACCTGGGGCCTGGCACTATCTAGGACTGGTTACTCTGACCACTTCCTCAGGGAGGCCAAATGCCACTGCTGACAAGGGGAGGTCCTTGTCACTGCCTTTCACCGCCTGTGCGCTCCCAAGTCTGGAATGTTCCATCACTTCCATCAGCCCCCTGCTGCCCACCTGCTTCTGGCTCCCACTTGACCCTGTCCCACCACAAGCTACTGTGCAGAGCGCCTTCCCTCACATCCCCACTCACCACCTCTGACAGCATCTCCAAGCAAGGCACCCAAAGGCCCCCAAAGCCCCTCCTTCCTAAACAGCTTCCCTGCAGCTCTGGGCCCAACGCTTGGTGAGCCGCCTCCCCATGGCCCCATCTCTCCCACCTCCTTTCCAGTTTCGGAGCACCCTGGGGCCCTGACTCAACATGGAAAATGTGCAAAGTGGCCCAAAGTGCCTTCAGGAGTTGCTTAACTCCGCCCCCTCCCCTGCCTCCCACTGAACCTGCTCTTTGTTCATTGACAAATATTTGCTGAAGGTCCAGAGGCAGAAGGGCCCCCAGGCTGAGCAGGGGTGGGTGCCGCCTGTGAGGGGCACGGGCAGCCTGTCCCCACTGGGATGTGCCAAGAGGACACGCACACAAAGTCCCCTGACACTCGAGCCGAAGCTCAAAGATGAGGGTTTGGATCTGAGGATTCAGGGCAGGAGCTGCTGAGTGACAGCAAGTGGCCCTGGGCTATGTGGGGATGAGGGGGACACTCTGAAAGTGGACTGTGTAACTTCACTGAAAATCACTGGACTGTGCCTTTAAAAATGAGTGAATTTTATGGTATGCAAATCACACCTCATAGAGCAGATATAAACTAAAGAATGTGGGGGGAATGCAGGCCAGGTGGAAGGCTGGGCACACACTTCAGTACAGAGGCCGGAAAGAACAAGAGGAG